GTGTATAAAATGTCCCTTTACTTGGGCAGACATTTCAAAGTCACTTTTAAAAACCATTAATACAAAAATTATAAAACGCTCATTGTTGAAAAATATGGGGGAGAAAACAAACCAACAAACTTTGATCCTAATCCCATCACAAAAAGACAACGGTATTTTGTACATGCCTTTGCAGGGTTTTTGTTCTATGCATACACATCTGGTAAACATTTTGAAATATAGCATTGTACTAATCAGAGATCTTGACTGCAAAATACAGACACTGACTCTCGCTTTGAACATAAAAAAAGGAGTTTGTTGGAAGTCTCTCAAGTGGTTCATAAAACGAATGGAAAACTAGAGAAATGGGCTTAAACCTGGGCAGGAACCACACAGTAAGCTAGGAGCCAAGACCAAGACCTCAGCTGAGTTTTCCATGATAGAAGACACTGGTGGGACATCATTACTTGCACTGCCAAATGGATACCTGGGCCATTCCTGTGGATTCTTGATTCTTCTACCACTGGAGACTCAAATAATCTCTCTCTCACTGTCCCTTCATCTTTGTGTTACTCCCTCAAGATTTGAAGTTCCAGAGAGATGCTTCCAACTATGCGAGCCTTGGCTATGTGGCTATTCTATGTGGAGGGGCAGGGCCCGCCCCGTCGTACTCCACCGTGGGACGGGGCCAGGGCCCGCCCCGTCGTACTCCACTGTGGGAGGCGAGGCCTTCCTTCCCGGTGTTGGGAGGCATCTGAAATCGGAGGAGTCCTGGGTGCCATGCCTTAACTAACCAGCAGAAAGTAGCCTATTCCATCCAACAAAACTCAACTCACCTCTTCTCGGAATATGATCCAAAGGGAGTTACAACGTAATCATCATAAAACTCAAAACCTTTCTGTGGTTCTCCTAACTGTGTAAAATAACGTAGATCACTGATGATAGGTTCTGGTACTGGAACTGGGCCTCTGAAATCAGAAGAAAAAAAAAGACACAAAGGACTTTATGATGATACCAGGTATACACACGTCACACCTAAACACTGACCGTTCTATACCATGTAAAAGCAAATGCCAATGAACTCTATGTGGAAAAATGTAAGGTAGCCATTCCTACTTCAGAATTTGTCTTAGACTGGCTTTATTACATTTTAATTTGTAGATTAAGGAGGTTTATATTCCCTATCCATCAAACCATTAACATAGGTACCTTCTCTTCCTGGTGGTTAGTACATAGTCTATTGTAAACCTCTCATCTATTTATTATGTAAGATCCACCAATATATCAACTGCTATAAAAATAGAAATAGATGTTTCCAATTTTGTTTATCATCTAATACTTTGAAAAGTTACCCCAATAAAATATTTCTAAAAATTCTAACATCATACTGGCAACTAAACTCAAAAATAACATATTCCTTCGTCCTCTATTTACATGTACGTGTAAACTTGCCTGTTTCCTTGCATGACCAGAAAGAGCCGTTTAGCATTGTGAGGCGATCAATCCTGCCCCTCTTCACCCAGACTCGGCACATGGAGGGCCTGATGCAAAGCAGCCCAGCTGCAAACGGACAGGAGCCAGTTCAAAGCAGCTGCCCTGTGGTAGTCCTTTTAGAGCCTGTGTTTGGCACTGCTTGGCTTCTCTGTCCACAATGCTTTCATAGTCATGGAAATTCCACTGGTCCCTGGTCATACAGAGCACCAGCTTCAGTTGCTCTGGGGACACTGCTGAGCTCCTGGCAACCCCCCCCCACCCCCAGGTTCCTGTCGGACTCTGTACACACTACACAGTCTGTCTTTGGAATCAGACTATTGAAAGGTAGCCTACAAATGTGGGGAAAATTAGTCTGACTTATATGGTAGCAAACAGACAAAATCTTAGTCTTATCTGCCCTGACTGTTGCTAGTCGCTGCTGAGTCTATTCTGACTAATGGCAGCGCCACGTGTGCAGGGAGAACTGAGGTCGATCAGGTTTTCTGGGCTGGAACCTTTCGGAAGCAGATCGCCAGGCCTGTCGCCCATGGCACCTCTGGGTGGGCTTGGATAATCAACCTTTCGGCTCATGGCTGAGTGATAAGCTGTGCTACCTAGGGACTCCCTATGTTGAGTAAAGGTTCTCAATTAATAGCTTGAAATTAGGGACAATAACAATAACTGAAGCTGAAAAAATATGCTAATGACTTTAGATTCTGCTTTATTGAATCACTGTTTTCTTAACTTTACTAACAAACTTTGAAACAAAAAAAGCTGGCCGGTGCTTTGGTAACTTTTTCAAAACAAGGATTCTTCATTCTATAGTCACACTTTCTAAAGGTCA